CCTGGTTTCTTTAGGTAACAGTAATCTTTTATTGTTCCAACTCCCTGGTCTTTGTTGTAAAGCTCCCATACATCCTAGCTGCTCCCTGCCTCTTCGGAGCCGTCCCTCAGAGCGACCTGAGAGGCTGTCATCATGGCTTGAGTCCTCAGAATTGTTCACCGAATAAAACGTAGCTCTCAACTTCTGGGTTGTACGTTTATTTCAGTCGACGCATTGTTTTGGGGGGAAGTGCATATAAGGTTACGAAATTTTACTTTTGAAGAACAAACACAAACTATTACCTTTATAATGTGAAGCAATGAAAATAAGTTTGGCAAAGTCTTCCTGGGTTGCGGGTGCTCACCGTAGGCATTTTTGAGTGGATTAGCAGGAAGAAAGCAGTTCTGCGTGCGACGGAGACCATTAGCATGTCCAGAGGGCTCTGAAGTCTCGATTGATCAGAAGTGAGCAAGGATTTAAAAGGGGAAGAAAAATCTTACGGAATTAGTAGATATTATTTTCCCTAAGGATTAGAATGAAAATCTCTACTTAATAAGATTTCTGGGCCCTGACATTTATTTAGGCCACTTAGTTGCATTCAATACATCATTTTAATTGAATGAAAAAAAAATTGAGCGTCTCTTAAAGTTTACTATAACCAGATTTAAGTACACATCTGGAAAGAAGAGCTTACGGAAGCGTCTTTACTACACTGGATGAAGCGTGTTATTGCAAAGGGATGCAGGGATTATAAAGATAAACCACAAAACCCGGCCTGAACTTCTATTATTGCAGAACAAAATACAGAGGAGGGGAAGACGGGAACGTGGGGAGAGCCTCCCCCTTTTGCACAGGCATGTTTGTAAATTAGAAAATTTGACACATTTCACGTAATTGACAGATTAACCCCCAGGTCTCAGGCCTGGGCCGCCAGTAGTCTGCCTTGTGCCTCTGAGATGTGCTCGCTCTGGACGCTGCAAACAAGTGCAGTCCGGTGGGGGTGCTCCCTCCCGAGCGCCGGAGAGCTCCTCCCTGCAGCAGGCGCCGCCGTCGCTCACTTTCACGCCAAGGAGCCCGCCGCTGTGCGGCTGGGCCGTGTGTTTCTTTATGCTCTCATCCGTTGGTAGACGCTGGGTTGTATCCACTTTCTGGCCGTTAGGAATAAAGCTGCTACCAACATCTTCCACACGTCTTCGCAAGGACTTGGGTTTTCACGTCCGTTTGGTACGAACGAGCTGCTGAGCCTGAGTGGCTGCCTGCGGGGCTGGTGTCATCAGAGGTGGTGGGGGAGCCGGGGAGCGGGCCAGGCCCCAGGTGGGCTGGGGGGCGGGAGGGGGTGGCCCCGGGCTGGGGCTGACGGCGGGCAGGCAACACCTGGGGGCCGGCATCCATCCTACAGGTGGGACCTCGGTCCTGTTGGCTGCCCCCAGCCAGAGGGAGCTTCTGCAGCCCAGGGCGGAGAGGAGGGAGAAACGCTGGGTCCCCTCCTGCGGCCGCTCGTTCCGGAGCAGTTTCTGGAACAGAGCTTGGGTGGGGTTCAGGGGGCGGGGATGGCTCCCATGCCAGAGATCGTCTCAGTTCTTATAAATATTTAGTAGTTTTAACTGGACGATTATGCATCCACTTGCACTATGCACTTAGGATAATTTCTGGAAACTCTGGTTAGGTTTATAATTTTCACTAGCTAAATGGCCTTTGTTCTCTGTAAGTGCCATATCTTATTTGCTCTCTCTTCCTCTTTTACTGGAATCTAGATTTAGGCAAATTTTTTTTTAGATTTAGCACCAACAAACATGATCTATAAAATGAAAAATAAGGGAAGGGAAATTGAGATATGTTGTAATAACATTTTTGTATCTCATTGGAATTAATACATAGTATAAATATGAAATCGATTTTGCTACGTTAAACTGTAGACGGCAAATCCTGGAGCAACTCCTCAAGAAAAAGAGCACAATGTAGCAAAAAAAATTAAAGGAATGAAAAATGTTACATTGATTTTTCACTTAATGCAGAAGAAATCATTATGCACCATCAGATGGCTAAATAAAATTTTAAAAAATAGTGCAACATCAAATGTTGGCAAGATTGTGGAGAAACTGGATTCCTCACCCTTTGGCGCTTTCATTAAAAATCTTCGTGTACAATTGCCGTGCAGCACAGCAGCTCCACTCTTGGACCACATATCCCAGAGCAATAAAAAGTCATCCTCACTACAGTCCTACACGTGAATGTTCATGGTAGATGTTTGTTCACCACAAACAGAAAGTGGAAACGACCTCGATGCTCCCAGCAGCTAAGCTGTGGTGCGTCCGTGCCAGGGGTGGCCCCTCAGCTGTGCAAAGGAGCGCAGAACATAAGCCGGATGTAAGCGGCCAGTCTGAAAAGGTGATGTGCTTTGCAATTTATTTTACAGCAGTTTTGAAAAGGCAGTATTTTAGAAATAAAGGACAGATGCGTGTTTGCCAGGAGTCGGCAGCTGAGCAGGCCTGCGTGGTGAAGACGCCCAGGCGCACAGAGGGGCTGGTGGCGGAGTCGCTCTCCCTGTCGTTTTGGTGGGTGGACAAAGTGAAACCTGGGATAAAGTTGCACAGAGCTGATCACACGCCCACAGATGAACACACTGAAACTGGGGAAGTCTGAGTGAGTGGATTTTACCAGCACAAACACCCTGGTTTTTATAGTGTGCTCTGCTTTTCTCTGCAAGGTATTACCTCTGGGGCAAAGTGAGCCAAGGATAGACTGTTTCTCCACATCATTTCTTATGACCACACGTGAATCTGCAGTTACTGAGAAATAGGCATCATAAGGAACACAGCCCACCCGTGCCTCTAACGCGGGGCGCTGCTCCACCGCAGCCAGCCCAGGGGCGGGAGCCGGCGGCGGTGGGGAAGCTCACGCCGGGCTTCCTGCTGCACTGGGAGGTCGGCAGCCACCGGCACAGACCGCCAGGTCTCCCGCGTCTCAGCTTCACTGCCAGATTCCTGAGCAGGAAAACTGGTCAGCGACATCTGTTCTCCAAAGACAGGAGGATGAATAACAGGTTCTGCGGCACGCAGTGCACAGGCCCCGAGAATCTAGAATTTAGGAGTATGACTGGGGTGTCCACTTGCGAGGACTCTGAGCAGAGGCCCCAGAGTGTCCCGCCTCCTGAAAGTGGATGCAGCAGGGTGACGACGGTCCGAGTCCGGACTGAGTCTGGTCACGGGAAAGGGGCAGAAGTCAACCCGGGGCAGCAGGCGGCTCCCCCCGACGGGGTACATGAACTTGGGAAGGAAGGGGGAGGGGCCGCCACAGAGGTCAGCAGGGGTCGGGGAGCCTCCGGCAGCTGCGCAGGGACAGCTGTGAGACTGATGAGTTTCTTTTGTTTTTATGTGAAGATCAGTGGCTCAGAGAGGTTAACAAATTTGGGCAAAGCCCAGAACTGGCCTGCTGTCTTTGGGTGAAAATTAGGTGGCTCTGATCCTGTTTTTTTTTTAAAGCATTTTTTTTTTTCAAATAGCTGTACTTGTAACGGGAACTCAGACTGCTGGTTTTCTATTCATTGTACTGTTTTTTGACTGAAATATGTATATATATATATATATTTTTTTTTTTTTTTGGTAAGAGTGACTGTGGATGACCTGATAGCCTCTAGCAGGTTGCAGTTTGCAAAACCTATTTCTAATTTTTAACTGTAACATAAGGCTTGCATATGTGTGGGCATCTTTAATATAGATATTTATGGTCAGTGTGCAAGGTAAATGCCTAAACTTACAGCTTTGCAAGTTTTCTATGTTTATATTCAAGTCATTATTCTCGTCAAGTTGCTGGCATCCCTGAGATGAAAAAGGGTTTGCAGACTTTTGAAACGCCAAGGCAGATTTCTTAGCAAACCAGGAGAGGTTACTGGGCTGTGAATTTTGTCCCCAGAGATCTCACAAATGTAGTTGGTTCCACCCTGGGCTGGTCTGCCGGCTTTAAAGGACGCGCCCTCCCTGCGTAGCGCCCCGTGGCATCACAGGACGCTGCTGAGATGCAGCTGAGAACATGACTCAATATAAGTAGCTCCCAAGAAGCCGGAAAGAGTCCACAGACTTCTGACACCTGTTGGCTTCTTGTCGGGGAGCCGGCCCGACTCTGCGGAGGCCGAGGCCGAGCACTGTCTCCCGAGCCCGCTCGTCGTGGAGGAACAGGGCTCCGGCCGGCACGGTTTCCGTGGCGCACGTCCCAGCCCCCGCCCTGCTCAGCTGCCCCCTGGTCTGGCCACGGACAGCGAGCTCTGCGTTAAGAGGGCTTGGTTTGTGTGTCAGACTTCAGGATGGCTGGGAGTCAGAGGTTTGTATTCTTTTCCCGTCAAGTGTAGGAAAAAACGTGTCATGAGAATTCTGAGAAAGCGTCTCGGTGAGAGTCCCCTGGAAGGCCGCAGTCCCGCTAGCGCTGCCGGCCGCGAGGAAGGATGGGCCGTGTCCGAGGCAGCGCGGCCGGGCGCTGTCGGGGCGCCAGAGCCCAGGCGGCCTGTGAGGGTAAAAATGAAAAGCACGTAGCACAGCTTTAAAGCTGGTTGAATGTACTCAGAGCTAATGTTTAAATTTATGGGGCAACGGAAATTTTTTCTAATGCGAGCCCTGAAAGACACACGTGAGGTGTTACACTGGTTTTTTCCCCACGCTAATTGTTGAA